ACTAAAAATATTGTATAAAATTAACTTCAGGCTATATGTATGAAATATATATGAAAAATAAATGAATTTGGCCGGGCATGGTAGCTCACGCCTGTAATCCCAGCACTTTGGGAGGCTGAAATGGGTCAGGACATCAAGACCATCCGGCTAACATGGTGAAACCCCGTTTCTACTAAAAACACCAAAAAATTAGCCAGGCATGATGGCGGACACCTGTAGTCCCAGCTACTCAGGAGGCTGGGTGGGAGAATGGTGTGAACCCGGGAGGTGGAGCTTGCATTGAGCCAAGATCGTGCCACTGCACTCCAGCCTGGGGGTGACAGAGCGAGACTCCATCTCAAAAAAAAAAAAAATAAAAAAATAAATGAATTCTGTGTTTAGATTTGGGCCCTATCCCCAAGATAGCTCAATATGCAGATATTCCAGAATCCAAAAAAAAAAAAAAAAATCAAAATCTGAAACACTTCTTGGTCATCTCAGATTTCAGATGAGGGATACTGAACCTGTAGTGGATTCAGCCCTTAGGTCTATTGGAATCATATCTCTTGTCTTTTAATTAAGCATTTTAAGTCAAATGATTAGGAGGAAGAGTTAGGGGATACCAGGAATAGAAGGGCCTGGAGTCTTCAGATAAATAGTTGCCATAGGTCTTTGATTCACTTAATGAGCCAGGAGATCCTTCCTCAAGGATCCCTGTCATGGCCTCTGAATAATAGTAATGATACTACTGATAGACAGTATTCATTGTTTCAGCACATAATTACATGCCAGGCCCTACGCTAAGTACTTTGTGTGCATTAATTCATAAAAAGCCTTTTGAGATAGTGTTACTTTTATCCCTGTTGTACACAAAGGAGAGTAGTAGATCTTTCCCCATCTGACAGTCCTAGCTTTGGTTTTTTTTTTTTTTCCTTCTAAATTGGTTAAGGCAAGCATTGGTAATTATAAGATGAAACAGTTTGGAGTATACATTGAACACCTCATTCACTTTTATTATAATTATGTCATCTTAAACTAGAGCTCTGGCTTGATGTACTTGAGAAAAGGGGAGGGAGGCATGTCAGATATCATTTGCCTTGATTTGGGAATCCTAACAGGATTAGGAGTGGGGCAGGGTGACCAGACATATTCCTAAATTGTATATTTTTTCCAGGTTCCTTGAAATAGTAAGATTTCCTTCCTGTCCTAAGGAATACCTTTCTCCCAGACTCCCAAATCTGCATATGTCCCCTACACTACTGTGGTACTTTCTCACTAATCCTTCTGCCACTTATCTGTGATGTATTTGTTGGTGGTCTCTTTCTAAGACTCACATTGTTATTTACTTGCCTTTAGATGTGGCAAGGATCTGGAATTTATATGTGTATATATATATAGTACTTTCATTACACTAATTAAAATTTAGGTTAATTTTTGTGTGTTGAAAAGACAATGCTGACTCCTTAATTTGGCATATGAGGCTTTTCCAGTCTTCTCTCCTATACCTAATGCTGCACCACACTGGACCTCTTTTGATAATGCCTCCCTACTCTCTGTGTTCTTCAGAACTTCCTCTTTACTCCCATTTCCAGGCATATTCTGTCCAAGCCAAGGTGGCTTGGAGGACAATGTATGTATACAGCACATTGTAGTCTGTGTTATGGATGTTTACAGGATCGGGTCTTGGTTCTTTTTCTTTTTCTTTTTTTTGAGACAGGGTCTTGCTCTGTCACCCGTGCTGGAGTGCGGTGGCACAATCTCTGCTCACTGCAACCTCTGCCTCCTGGGTTCAAGCATTCCTCCTACCTCAGCTTCCTTAGTAACTGGGACTACTGGCATGCACCACCATACCTGTCTAATGTTATGTATTTCTTGTAGAAACAAGGTTTCGCTGTGTTGCTCAGGCTGGTCTTGAACTCTTGCCTTAAACATTCCACCCGTCCTGGCCTCCCAAAAGTTCTTTTCCAGACTTCAAAACTTTATTTTGGTTTAGTCTGTGTCTAATCAGCTGCCCTTTGGGGTGCTAACTATAGAGAGCAGGCAGTCGGCTAATGTGTATTAGGCAGTGAAGAATGAAGCATGTAGCCTTAAGATATGCAGATTGTGCCGGGCAGTGGCAAGCGCCTGTAGTCTCAGCTACTCGGGAGGCCAAGGTGGGAGGAGCACTTGAGCCCAGGAGTCTCAAGTCCAGCTTGGGCAACACAGCGAGACCTCCTCTCTGCAGATTATAAGTATTTGCATCTTAGTCTTCATGAAGTTGCCTTCCTGAAATTGAGAATCGTCTTAGAAATCTACAGTTGTGAAAAGGGCCTTGTGTGTCACTGGATTTAACAGTTCTCAATGGCACCACTCTAGAATTTGGGAAAACAACCTGCAGGATTGTGTATTTTGGTCTTCACAGTTTGCAGAGGGTACCAGTCCTTTCAAGAATTTGAGGCTGATGTGAGGCTCAAGTTTGTCCCTTTAAGGTCATCCTGCAGAGTTGATAAAACTGTAAATGCTCTTGGTCATTCTCATGCTTACTTGGATTTTAGTAGGCCAAACAAAGTGACATCAGGCCTGTTCTTGTTTTGTTTTGATGTGACCAGCTTATATATTAAGTGCCAGTTTCGTTACTTGTTCTGTTTTTGTTTGTTTTCCCCAAGATAATTGAGGATAATAGAACTGATGAGGCAGGCTCCTCTTAAAAAAATCTGTCAACCAATATTTCATTGCTTCTTATGTTGGACATTGACTGTGGGGAGTGAGGGAGACTGAAGAATGGTACCTACATTTCTGCATTGGGCATCTGGTGGATGGTAGTGTTATTTACTGAGATAGGGAATACCAAAAGAATAGTTTTTGTTTAAGGGTTCATGATTTTATATATGTATATATAGGATTTCTTTTTTCATTCAGTAAGTAATGTCTTGCCCATTTTCTCATGCCAGTTAATAAATAAATAATTAGTGCCAAAATACGTATGTACTTATAATGACCACATACAGTTGTATAACTTAATCAGTTTGGGTGGTTTTACCACTGTTGGTACTTACCTCTCTTGTATTTAATAGTTAATGTTTCCAGATACAAAATAACTACTGTATGCCATGCAAAATGCTTTACATATGTCATCAAAAAGTTTGTATCCTTTTTCCATTTAACAAGTGGGGAAACTGAGGCATAGAGGTTAAGTAACTGTGACATCACACAGCCAGTAAATGGCAGAATGAAAATTTTTTAAAACAGCTGTATTGACATAAAATCTACCTACCCTAAAGTTAACCTTTAATGTACAGTTCATGGGTTTTTAGTCCAGTTGAGTCTTGGACAGTGTGGGAGTTAGGAGGACCAACCCCCCACAATCAAAAATCTGTGTATAACTTTGACTCTCCCAAAACTTAACTAGTAGCCTGCTGTTGACCTTACCAATTATTGGCCTTACCAATTATTGGTCTTACCAGTTATTGGCCTTACCAATAACATAAACAGTTGATCGCATATTTTATATGTTACATGTATTATATACTGTATTCTTACAATAAAGTAAGCTAGAGAAAAAATATTATTAGAAAATCATAAGAGAAAATATATTTACTGTTCATTAAGTGGAAGTGGATCATAAAGATCTTCATATTTGCCATCTTCACATTGAGCAGGCTGAGGAAGGGGGGGATTGATTGGTCTTGCTGTCTCAGGGGTGGCAGAGGTGGAAGGATGTGGAGGGGATGGGGAGAAGCAGGCACAGTCAGTGTAACTTTACAGAAATAATTTGTCTGACTTTTTGCTTTTTCATTTCTGTAAAAATGTTTCTATGTGGTACCAATCCTTCTTCCACTGTTTGCATTAGTTTCAGTGCCTGTATAATAGAAGGGTCCATATTGTAAAAGAAGTCAAAAGCAGTCTTGAATAATCGGAACCCTTTGCCAGATCATCTAATATCAATTTGTTTTCTGGCATTGCTACTTCAACATCGTCTTCCTTGTCTGGTACTGGTTTGGAGCACTCATCTCTATCAAATTGTCTTCTGCTAATTCGTCTGGTATGGTGTCTGTTAACTCTTGGATTTCTCCAAGATCTATGTCTTGGAAACCTTCACTCCCAACCTTTTTTGTCATATCTACAGTCTCTTTCATGATTTCCTGTATTGGCTCTGTGGTAAATCCTGTGAAGTCATGTACAACGTCTGGAAACAGTTTTCTTTAGCAGGAATTTATTGTTTTGGGCATGATGGCTTTCATGGATTTTTCTGTAACAGTGATGGCATTGTCACTGGTGTAATCCTTCCAGACTTTCATGACATTCTCTCTGTTGGGATTCTCTTCCACGCATTAACAATCCTTTCCATAGAGTAGCATGTGTAATGAGCCTTAAAGGTCCTTATGACCCCTTGATCTGGAGGCTGACTTAGAGATGTTGTATTTGGGGGCATGTATACCTCTTTGTTGTTGAATTTATGGCATTCTGGGTAGCCAGGGGCATTGTCCAGTATTTAAAGAACTTCTGAGTACCTTGCTTATCATAAACACTCATTAAGTGTTTTATTATATAAAAAAGTCCTTTACTGGCAAGGTAATTTCTGACTCTAGGAACAAAATATCAATTGAACCAATTCAGAAAAAGGGTTCTTGTTGTCTAGACCTTCTTGTTGTACAACGAAAGACTGGCAGCTGGTGTTTTATTTTCCCTTAAGGTCCAGAGGTTAGCAGCTTTATAGATAAAGGCAATCCTAATCATAAACCTGACTATATTTGTAGAAAACTAGTAGGGTTAGCCTGCCCCTTCTTGCCTTAAATCCTGGTGGTTGATTCTTTTCCTTAATAATATCCTTTGTGGAAACTTTTCCAAGAATTGGCCAAGAATATTTTGGTATTTTTTTCTTACAGTTCCAAGTACTTAGCTCATAGTAAACACTCATTAAGTTTTTTAATATATAAAGAAGATGCTTAAGTCCTTCCTACTTTATCTAATTCATAGTGTGGAAAGAAGGGGTCACAGAGAAGTGTAGAAAACCTAAATATCTTTTTTTTTTCTATGTCTAGGAAGAAGAAGCAGGAAGGATAAAAGATTGCTGGGACAACCAGGAAGCACCTGCTCTCTCCACGTGTAGCAATGCCAATATCTTTCGAAGGATAAATGCCATATTGGATAATTCTCTGGATTTCAGTAGAGTCTGCACTACACCTATAAACCGAGGAATTCATGATCTTTTGCCAGGTGATTTAGATTTGAAAACTTGAACGTGGTAGGCATCTGTACAGATCTGCTTCTAGGTAGTGCATGTAAGAGGTCTTCCTCGGAAAGCTTGTGAAGAACAATGTTGAGTTGCCAGCAACACTTGCCTTTTTGTGGTTTAGTTTATGGATTGAATCCCTCTTTGGGTGAAGACTACCTTTAATTAGGATGTGTAAACCTACTTTATGATACATAGAAAGGTTGGGGAAAAAAGAACAGGTCACAGATAACACGAGTATTTATATAAAGAGATATAATGTGAATTACATATGCTACAGATTTTCTGGTAGCCATGTTAAAATTAAGATACAGATGAAATTAATATTTTATTTAACCCAATATATGATAATATGACAACATTTAATATAAAAACAATGAGATTTTTTATTGTTAGTACTATGACTTCAAAATCCAGTGTGGATCTTACAAGCTTATCTCAGCATGGACATTTCAGGTGTTTAGTGGCTACTGCATTGGACAGTGTAGCTCTCGAATGTTTTAACAGCTTTTAAACATGAGTCAGCATGCATTTAGTTTCTATGATCTACTGGATACTTCAAGGAATAGTGGAGATAGAGGGCAGCATCTTCTGAAGTTGACTCTTTCCAAGAGGTGTGGATGTCCTAACGGTGTTTCATTTTGTGGGAGTTGCAATCCATTATAAGAATGTTGAAGTGTTTTTGGTTTGAGTTATTTATTTTGTTATAAGAATGTTGAAGTGTTTTTGGTTTGAGTTATTTATTTTGTTTTCGTATTTTCTTTTCCTTTTTTTTTTTTTTTTTTTTTGAGACAGAGTCTCGCTCTGTCCCCAGGCTGGAGTGCAGTGGTGTGATCTTGGCTCACTGCAACCACTGACTCCCTGGTTCAAGTGGTTATCCTGCCTCAGCCTCCCTAGTAGCTGGGATTACAGGCACACACCACCATGCCCAGCTAATTTTTGTATATTTAGTAGAGATGGGGTTTCACCACGTTGGCCAGGATGGTCTCGATCTCCTGACCTTGTGATCTGCCTGCCGTGGCCTACCAAAATGCTGGGATTACAGGCATGAGCCACTGCGCCTGGCCTTTATTTTATATATTTTTTCTCTTTCTTTTCTTTCTTTTCTTTCGAGGCAGAGTCTCGCTCTGTCGCCCAGGCTGGAATGCAGTGGTGCAATCTCAGCTCACTGTAACCTCCGCCTCCTGGGTTCAAGCAATTCTCCTGCCTCAGCCTCCCAAATAGCTGGGATTACAGGCACCCGCCACCACACCTGGCTAATTTTTTGTATTTTTAGTAGAGATGGGGTTTCACCCTGTTGGGCAGGCTGGTCTCAAACTCCTGACTTCAGGTGATCCACCCACCTCGGCCTCCCAAAGTGCTGGGATTACAGGTGTGAGCCACTGTGCCTGGCCTGTTTGAGTTATTTTAGATGAAAGAATATATTTTTAATTTTTAAAAATGGACCTTGAAAACAATTAGCAACAATGGGGATTCTCAAACCAAGGACTGATAATTACAGTCGACCCTTGAGCTACACTACTTTGAACTGTGCAGGTCCACTTATATGCAGATGTTTTTCAACCAAAGCTGGAAAATGTGATATTCAAGGGATGTAAAACCTACATATATGGAGGGCTGACTTTTCTGGTATAGGTGGGTTCCTCAGAACCAACTGTGAGACTTGAGTATGTGTGGATTTTAGTATACTGTAGGGGTCCCGGAACCAATTCCCTACATACACCAAAGGACAACTACTGTTTTTAGTTGTAAATTCTTTTATTTATTTTTTAGCTTGGCCTTAGAAATAATTCCCACAAAAATGTAGGAGTTATGTGAGCATTAAGTAGCTTAATGTTTGAGGGAGAGGCTTATTAAGGAAGAGAGTAACTTGTAGCATTTGCTTTTGTCATACAGGAAGGCAAATGAGAGAAGGGCATACTTGGGGGTTAGGGTAGTTTTTGTCTCTTCTGACTTCTACAAAAGAAAAATATAAGTCATGAGCTAACCCAGTTCTCTTTTAGGGTTATGCTGAGTTAAAAGCTCAGGGAGTCATCTTTCTTAGTTCTACTACATGATCTCTTTTTCTCCTTTGAGAAAATTGCATGTATTGTGTCCCAGTAAGAATGACAGGCCAGGCATGGTGACTTAAACCTGTAATTGAGGCTGGAGCAGGTGGATCACTTGAAGCCAGGAGTTCGAGACCAACCTGGGCAACATGGTGAAACCCTGTCTACAAAAAAAATAGAAAAATTAGCGGAATGTGGTGTGTGCACCTAGTTGCAGCTACTTGGAGAATGAGGTGGGAAGATCACTTGAGTCTGGGATGTCGAGGCTGCAGTGAACCGTGGTTGTGCCACTGTACTATACAGCCTGGGTGACAGAACAGGACCCCTGCCCACCTCCGCCAAAAAATAAAAGCATGACACTCAACGATTCAACAATGGCTTAAACCTCACTGGGTTGTTTCAGAGATGCTGGAAACTTTTCTAGTTTACAGAAAAATATTTTTCAGCTAATACTAGGTGTTGGACCTAAGGGAAAGGACCCATGATTGATGGGAGAGGAGCTTTCAGGAGTGTATGTTTGCAACTGTCCAGGGAGCCCAGTGACTTCACTGGTAAGATGCCAGGGTCTGGTGAGGGTGTTGTTACCATTATACTCTGCCCAGGGTCAGTAGCTGAAGTACAAGTTACAGACTTCTCGGGCTCTTCAACTCCTTTTCAGCTTCCTTAGAACCTTCTAAGAGAAACAGGAGGAAGATCTTGAGGAAATTGGGAAACCTGGGTTCTAAGCTTGATCCTGGGCAGTGAGATAAAAGGTCAATTTTCTCAGCTGTAGGACAGAATGGTACCTGTTCAACCTGACTCACAGGTGTCTTATGGGAGTCAGATGTTAAGACAACACTGCAGATTTAAGGAAACTCAAGGAATTGTAGGAAAGGTTTCTGTCAGAGATAGCTGATGTTTTTGAGCCCTTCACATATACCTAGCCCCTCCCTTGTGTGGTCAACTCTCTGCTTTCCACTTGTGATTCAGCTCAGGGCTGTGGGCCTGTGTTCTCGAGTGGTGAAACAAGGATGCTTGGCCTACAGTAGAGAGCATTTTTCCTGTGTTCACCAGCAAAAATACCAACCTTGTGGTTAATGAGGAAGTAAACTAGGATATATATTTTTCTATGAAGAACCTTAAGAAATAATCCAATCTTGTAGCTTCTGATCAAAAGTAATTTTGTTACTTGAAGGAAATAATCAGAATTATGAAAACCTAAGATTGTTTATGGACAGCATTAACTAGGGACAATTTGGTAACAGAATGTTAAGTAAATGATAGGAAAGTTGTATCATGGAGTATCCTGTACCATAAAATATAATGTTTGTAGAAGACTACTTAATGGCAAAGAAAGATAACTACAGTGTCTGAAATGAAAAAAACAAAGTGTAAGACAGGTGTAAAAAAGCAAAATGTATAAAAGCAAAGTGTAAAAAGAATGACCTTAAGTATATATGCATCGAAAAACCCTGAAATTGTATAAATGTGACAGTGAAGATGGGTAATACAGAAAAAAATTATGGGTAATTTTTTTTTTCCTGAGACGGAATCCCGCTCTGTTGTCCAGGCTGGAGTGCAGTGGCGTGATCTCGGCTCACTGCAACCTCGGACTCCTGGGTCCAAGTGATTCTTCTGCCTCGGTCTCCTGAGTAACTGGGATTACAGGTGTGCGCCACCATGCCTGGCTAATTTTTGTATTAGTAGAGATGGGGTTTCACCACATTGGCCAGGCTGGTCTTGAACTCCTGACCTCAAGTGATCCACCTGCCTTGGCCTTCCAAACTTCTGGGATTACAGAGATGAGCCACTGCACCTGGCTGGGTAATTTTTTTCTGTATACTTTTCCCCACTAGTTCTTCTAAAACAAACATTTTATAATAAATTTTCAAATGGCGTATATCCTAACACAGTGTTTCACATTGCTAGTTACATGCATAACCCAGTTGGTAAAACATCATTGGAAAAGTGCTGTGATAGGGTCAGGGAGAGATTGGTTTAGTTGAGAACTAAGAAACACTTCTGGTCAAAGCAGCATTTGAAATAGGCTTTGAAGAGAATTAAAATTACTTTAGTCTTAACTGTAGGTTGAGTAGATTATTTTTTTTTTCTATTGCCCCAGAATTGGCCATTAGGGCCCAAAGCTGAGAATAAAGAGCTGTTAAGTGAGCTGTGGTGTAATGAGAATCCCTAAGAGGTGGGACCAGATACCTCCTGCCAGGGCTTACCAAAAGGTCACAGAGCTGTCCCTCCTACCACAAACATTAGCTCAACCCTTCCCTGGCCTATAAAGAGGATCACATAAGGAGGGGGTAGCATTTGAAGTGATTCCCTCCTGTCTGTGGAGGAGGGTGGGATAGGATGTGGCTTTGTTGTTCAAGCCAAGCAAGAGGGTCTTCCAAGAGAAATACTTGTGTAGACGGAGGATGCTTCCAAGAAAGAAGACAAGGTTGAACCCCTGGTTGGACAACTGACTTGCTGTCTGTCCCTGACTGAATAGAGATTAATGAGAAATTAAGAGATGTGGGCTGGGTGCAGGACTCATGCCTGTAATCCCAGCACTTTTGGAGGCGGGCAGATCACTTGAGGTCAGGAGTTCGAGACTAGCCTGACCAACATGGTGAAACTTTGTCTCTACTAAAAATACAAAGATTAACTGGGCATGATGGTGTGTGCCTATAGTGCGGGAGGCTGAGGCAGGAGAATTTCTTGAACCTGGGAGTTGGAGGTTGCAGTGAGCCAAGGTTGCACCACTGCACTCCAGCCTGGGTAATAGAGTGAGACTCTGGAGAGAGATGTGGTGGGGTGGGGAAAGAGAGTAGCTGGAGCATCTGAATTCTCTGTTTGTATACAAGAAAGTTGTGATTTGCTGTGGTTTAAGAGGGTTTTGCAAAGGCCTGAGCTTTTGGGCTGGTACCCCACCAAGAAGGCCCTTGTTGCATGGTGGGTGGTGGGAG